CCCAGGTTTGAGTCTCAGCACCCAGACAAGAGTCTCACAACTACTTGTACCTCCAGTTCTAAAGGATCTGATGCCCTTTTCTGGCCTCCAAGGGCACCAGACATGGTATATTGGAACACATGTGTAAGTGTGTGTGTGTGTGTGTGTGCACATGTGTACACATAAGTGTGGAGACCTACAACTGATGTCAGGTGTCTGTAATCTCCATTTTATTTCCTAAGGCAGGATCTCCTGGCTAGTTTCTTTAGCTAGCCAGCTTGCACTGGGGATCTATCTAGTCTCTGCCTCCTGAGTGTTGGCCTGGCTTTTCTGTAGATGCTGGGGTTGTGAAGTCAGGTCTTTACACTCGTACACTGTGGTGGGAACAATGCCACACACTGTTCCTTACACTGCAATGGTTCATGTTCTGCAGGTGAACAAAGAGCTGGGCTTTCTCTCTGTCCTTCCTTCATGTGGAGCCACTGTCCTCAAAGCTAAAATGCGGCGAGGTCAGCTTCTTGTTGCTGTTACCCATAAGTAGATCTTCCAACACCTGTTTTGGTTTGGGTTTATTTAGTTGAAAAGGTCTCCTGTAGCTCAGGGTGGCCTGGAACTGCTCTGGAGGATGACCTTGAACTCTTCATTCTCCAGCCTCTACCTCCCCAGTGCCGGAGAAAGTGGATCAGAAGTTCAAGGGTATCTCCAGCTTCATACTGAGTTTGAGGCCAGCCTGGGCTATAGGATGCACCCCCAAGAGCAACATCCAAGCCAACCATTCCACAATCCAGATTTTAACCTCCCCAATGCAACCACACCAAAGCAAACACCAACCACAAGCCGTTTCCTGAACCCCTCAGTCCTCCCAGTTAGGAAGCTGTCACTGGACACGGCGGATCACCTCTTCCCTTCACAGACTCAGTTCTACTAGCTTCTAATCCTCCCCTTTCACTTTCTCCCCAGCCACCCGCCATCCCTGCTCCCATATTTAACTTCTTAACTGCTGCGCCGGCTCTCCAACCCCTATCTTCAGCTTCTAAATGTGACTTCCACTGCATGCCCATCTCTTTTCAGCTCTCTATAGTTCCATAGATCTGAACACCACATCCAGGTTGCTGTTCCCAGATTTCCATCTCCAGCACTGACTACAACACTGGATTCCAACCCATGTATCTATCCCTTTGCCTGCGTAATGAACCTATCTGGCAGTCTTGACAATCCCCTTTCCCCTTGATTCCCATCGTCAGTCCACGAATTCATCTCCCATAATGCATCTCCAATCCTCTCTTCACTTGTACTTAGCCTGTTGACCAGCAAGTAACTTTGCTTGTATATATCTCGTTCCCTGCAGTCCTCTAGAGCAGCGAGCCATGAGAATGAACCGCAACCATCCCTAGTTTCCATGTGAATTCAGAACTAGGCGGAGGTTTCCCTCTGTGCTCCCTAAGGTCCCCTCTGTTCCCTGGATCCCTGTCCTGTTACAATGCTTGGCCACACACACCTTCTTTTATAGAAAACCCACAAGCCCTTTCCTAGCCCAGGGCCTTTGCCCCTGCTGTTCCCGTGGCCTGAGGGAAGTTTCTGTGCCCTTCTTCTTTGCACAGCTGGCACAGCTGGTTTTCCAGCCAATCATCCATGCCTTAGCTCAACAGCCACTTCCTCAACAAGGCTTATTTGACAACTATCTGAAGCAAGTCCTTCTCAAGTTATTTTGTATTATACTACTTAATAATCTCTAATACTTCACTTACTATAATCTGAAATGCTTTTATTTACTGTATGCCTTCTCCCATTCAACTAGAAGTCTAATGAAGCAGGAATCTTTATTTCTTGGTGGTAGTGGGCAATGAACCCAGGGCCTTGAAACTTATTAGGCATGCGCTCTATTGACTGAGCTATATCCCCAACCACAGACAGCTCACTTTTTAAAAAAATCAGTGCTAATTATACTATGCTTGGAAGTATTCTTGGATTTTTTTTTTTTTTTGAGACTTGCACTAGCTCAAGCAGCCTAGAAATTACTATGTAGTCCAAGCTGGTCTTGAGCTCAGAGTGATCCTCCTGTCTCTGCCTCATAGGCTGCAATGCAGGACTTATGCATTGCCAGGCCATTTCTGCAGCATACCCTGCTGCCCAGGAGTGAAGGCTATCTCCTACTGAGGGGGTCTGGTTCTGGACAGAAGCATTTGGCTGGGCTGACTCACTCTCAATGATTGATCCAGCACACACCCCTCAGACTGCAGTGGCATGCAGAGGGCAAGCAGGTCGGCTGGGCTCTCTGCTCTTCTCAGGATACTTTAGGGGTTCTGCTTGAAGGTCTGTGCTGTTAAAACTCGGGCTGGACTGATCCCAAACCCTGAAGTAACAAATATTACCAAGTTCTGTCATTTCCTCCACCAGAAAAGTGGTTTTACTACTACTTCTGGTTGTGATGAAAGGTCCTATTGACTATTCAACTCCTCAACCAAGTTCTGGATGCGGTATTAAATGACTTCACTCCTTTTCTCTGGCGCTTTAACACATGCTAGTGCTTTCATCCACCTCCACTAACGTGGCTTGTAAATCATGGAGGTGGGGCTGCCTTAAGGCAGGACTTGTTCACATCTCTAGAGATGGGGTATAAACGAGACTGACTGAAAAGACAAATTCTTCTTTGACAGCATGCGTTAGTGTGTACAGATAATCCTTCCCAAGCTACACACATCTTATTGCTGTGAGGCTGGCTTACGAACCATAGTTATTAATAATTTTATTACAAATCGGAACACGGAAAAGTGATGCCAGTCAGGTCAAAACAAAAGAAACTTTCCCAAAGCTTCTTGAGGTCACAAATTTGCTAAAAGTTTCTTTTATGTGCTTAAAAGTGGCTTCTTGCACAAGATTTCAAATCTATGGAAGTCTGTTTTGAAGAAACAGAAAATGACACCAGAGAGCAAGCTACTTGTTTCCTAGGGCTAGAGTAGACAAGCTATTGCCTTCCCCTAAAGAATACAAAGTTGCGCCGGGCGTTGGTGGCGCACGCCTTTAATCCCAGCACTCGGGAGGCAGAGCCAGGCGGATCTCTGTGAGTTCGAGGCCAGCCTGGGCTACCAAGTGAGCTCCAGGAAAGGCGCAAAGCTACACAGAGAAACCCTGTCTCGAAAAACCAAAAAAAAAAAAAAAAAAAAAAAAAAAAAAGAATACAAAGTTGCACACACAATTGCTATAGGCAGGCTGCTTCTTAGGCAGATGAGAACATTAGTTGGGCACACTGTGGCCTGGGCTTGGGTAAGAAGTCAGAGGCTACTTGGAAAGTACTCCTAAGGAGTGATCCGTTTGAGAGCCAAAGCAGAGCGCTGACTTCCACGGCACAGAGGCAGCCTCCGCTGGACCTTCCAGCTGGGCTGCTCTTACATCTCTTTACACCACCTTTTCCATTTCTGCTGGGAACACGACATGTGTATGTGCATGCGTCCTTGAGTTTGAAGTGGATATATATTAATGAGAGATAGGCATACTGATTTATAAGATCCAGGCACTGCAGCCGGGCAGGTTGCATCCGGAAGCTTCCAAATCCAGTGCCTACGTGCACAGGGCAAAATACAGCAGCAGAAAGGGCAGGAGAGAAGAACATCTGGACTCAGACTGGACATGAGTTCTTCTAAACAGTGCCGCTTTTACTGCTGACGACCGCGACTCTGTCCCCACAGCTGAGCCCCCCTGGACACGCTGCCACAGTCCCTCGTTTGCCAATTTACTTCATCTTCCTTGGTGTGACAGTAGTCTGGGTGTTTCGGGACTAGACCAGCCTGCCAGTGTATGGTCTTTTCCATGGAGTGATACAACTGTGACAGGTGTGTGAGGCAGACAGCCCTGACATTGAAGTCCTGCTTTCTTGACAGAAATACTTAGCTGCCCAAAATAGGGGTGTGGGTGGGGTGGGGGACGAAAAGAGGGGCTCAAGGGAAGGTGAGTCATGGGCAAAGCCTGTGTGTGGCCGCTCACCCTGCTTGAAGTCGTGTGAGGGTGAGAGTGGTGTGATCCTGAGCATGCGGAGCTTGGGTTAGGAAGTAAATGTGCAAACTAGAAATAGGATCCAATTTCAGAAAAGGATAACGATCTTCATAAAAACCACATTTCAGAAAACCCAACATTAAACTGATGTTGTCCGAGGGGAAGAAAGGCAAAGATAACACAGATGGAAGAATCATTCCAGTCTGATCGGCCTTTAGATTCACGTGGAGAAAGGACAACTGAGGCTCGTAAAAAGCAAAGCATCACAACGCTTATTACTTCTATAAAACCGAAGGTCCGAGGACCCAGCTGACAATGTCTTTAAGGGACAGCAAACCGCGGCTACTCCACCAGGTGATATTGCAATCGGATGGATGTCCCAAGGAAGGGCGAGCGCTGAAGCAGGCCTTCCTCTGCAGCTAACAATTCCTGCAGCGTCCACCTCTTGAAGTAGCGCCAACTGCACTAACTAAAGAAATGCTGTGGGCTGCTTTCAGGACAACACAAACTCAGGCATCTGATACCCTTCCTATGGCCCGTGGACAACACTGTTTAAGGGCGACACTAACTGATGGGATGTTGAAAGAGCCACAAGAATCCAAGATGGGTTGGGAGGAACATGTGCTTGGTCTTTCCCTTTGGGCCCTGGGTAATGAGGTGAGGAGCCCATTATGGACTTGCCAAAAGTACTAAACTTTTACTCCATAAACAATAATGCAAAATGAGTCCCCAGAAGTGGTCTAGGAGAAGAAAGCTATTACCAATCGAGCAGCAGAGCCAAGGGATTGTTCAGACCACACACTCAAGCCCAAGCCTACCAAGAAGAACTCAGAAAAGGACGGTGAGAGTCAGAGATGGATTCCAGCGAATACCCACTGCTTCTCCAAGCTCATTTTAATGTCACAATAAGACTGTGGCCAACACACGGCATTGCCATGTACCTGGCTAAAGTGAAGGGCTGGCTGCAGTAGTTAACTATGGAGAGAGGGCGAACAGCGGAGTGAGTGAGAGGGAGGAGAAGAGCCACTTACCTGGGCAATGTTCTTGTTCAGAAGGTAGACACCATAATCAAACTGCAGCTTCTCCCCTCCCTTTGGATACAGCGGGAACCTAAGAAAGGTAAACAAAGATGAGAATTCTCAGGAACAGGTAAGCTGACCTCCACACTGTTGTCAAAGGCACAGGTTTTGTAGGTGCAGTACAAGCACCTTGTGATTGATTTAACCATGGACTTGGCTATGGCTGCTGCGATCTACTAAGATCGGTGTCAGAAACAACTGCCATCTTCCCACGGAGAGACTGAACACAAAACGGGTGCGGAAACACCAGTGACCTACACCTCCAAGGAGCTGAGTCTCTGCTTCCTGTTACGGGTCGGAATCTTACCATCCTAGGACAAAGATCCTCCAAGTATTCTAATACCCTGGCCTTGACATTTCAACTCCTAGAACTAAATGGGAAAGATAAGGGGAAACATCAGACTTAAAAACAATATATAAGGCTGTTTCTCTTTAGCTGTCCAGTCAACATCAATGCCAAGGATGAGCCAAAATTCATCTAAAATTCATCCCCTTTGCAAGGCCAGCTATATGGACTCAATATCTGCATGGCAATGTATTCCTGCCACCAAACTCAGGGATGACTGGACATTGTGACCTGCCTCACTGAGGCAGCAAGGCACAGGCTTGGGATCTCCTTAAGATGAGGCGTTATTTCAGGGAACATATTTCTCTCGTGAGGTCCCTTTCTTCCCCACGCACAATAGGAAGAAGTCAGTGTACACTCAGTTGTTTTGTCCCTCCCTCCCTGTCTCTCAAGATCAAGCATGAGTACAATGATCTGAAAGAGACTTCTCTACAGAGAGATCGGTCACCAGAGCTTCTTGCTGTTTTTTCTTAATGGCAGCCATGCTAACAGTGTGGTTTGAATTTGCACGATGGTCAAATTGTTGTTTGGCATTGTTTTAAATGTTTATTAGCCATTTCTAAATCATCTTTTGAGACTACCTGTTTAGTAGCCCATTTTTCTACACTGCTGGTAGGAATGCAAATGCTCTAGCCACTATGGAACTAAGTATAGAGGGTCTCAAAAAGCTACAAATGAAACTACCATTCTGGGTATCTCCCTGACCATGCTAGGTCAGCACAGCACAGACGTGCCTCCATTCCCATGTTTACTGCAGAACTACCCGCAACAGCCGAGTGATGGGATGCGCCCAGGCATCTGTCAGGTGAACGGGTAAAGAAGATGTGGTATACACACATTGGAACTTCATTCGGCCATCAAAAAGGACAATATCACGCTACTTGCCGGAGAATGACTGGGACAGGAAATCACTACAATAAATAAGCCAGGCACAGACAGACCAATGTCACCTCTTTATGGCTACACCAAAACATCTGCCTGTCTGTCCATCTGTCATCCATGATGAATGACATGAAAGAAGGAGACTGAGGGGAAGAAGGGAGGGCAAAGGATGGGGGGAGGGAGGGCACAGGAGGG